ATCGGGCTCACTTAGGCCGAAGTTGTCTGTGATTTGTTTCAAGGTTTATATCCTAGAGTTGAAAAATGTGTGCTAGCAGTGCAGCAGTGGTAGTTTTCTGTGTGTAGTCACAGTTTGTTTCATGCCATTATCAATGCATAGTCACTTTAATAACTCTACCTACAGTCGTGGTCAAAAGTTTTGAGAATGACACAAGTGTTGGTCTTAAAGTTTGCTGCTTCAGTGTTATGAGATATTTTTGTCAGATGTTACTATGGTATACTGAAGTATAATTCCAAGCATTCCGTAAGTGTCAAAGGCTTTTATTGACAATTACATTAAGTTTTTGCAAAGAGTCAATATTTGCAGTGTTGACCCTTCTTTTTCAAGACCTCTGCAATCCGCCCTGGCATGCTGTCAATTAACTTCTGGGCCTCATCCTGACTGATGGCAGCCCATTCTTGCATAATCAATGCTTGGAGTTTGTCAGAATTTGTGGGTTTTTGTTTGTCCACCCGCCTCTTGAGGATCGACTACAAGTTCTCAATGGGATTAAGGTCTGAGGAGTTTCCTGGCCATTGACCTAACATTTTGATGTTTTGTTCCCAGAGCCACTTAGTTATCACTTGCCTTATGGCAAGGTGCTCCATCATGCTGGAAAAGGCATTGGTCGACACCAAACTGTTCTTGGATGGTTGGGAGAAGTTGCTCTCGGAGGATGTGTTGGTACCATTCTTTATTCATGGCTGTGTTCTTAGGCAAAACTGTGAGTGAGCCCACTCCCTTGGCTGAGATGCAACCCCACACATGAATGGTCTCAGGATGCTTTACTGTTGGCATGACACAGGACTGATGGTAGCGCTCACCTTGTCTTCTCCGGACAAGGTGTTTTCCGGATGCCCCAAACAATCGGAAAGGGGATTCATCAGAGAAAATTACTTTACCCCAGTCCTCAGCAGTCCAATCCCTGTACCTTTTGCAGAATATCAGTCTGTCCCTGATGTTTTTCCTGGAGAGAAGTGGCTTCTTTGCTGCCCTTCTTGACACCAGGCCATATTCCAAAAGACTTCGCCTCACTGTGCGTGCAGATGCACTCACACCTACCTGCTGCCATTCCTGAGCAAGCTCTGCACTGGTGGTGCCCCGATCCCGCAGCTGAATCAACTTTAGGAGATGGTCCTGGTGCTTGCTGGACTTTCTTGGGCGCACTGACGCCTTCTTCACAACAATTGAACCTCTCTCCTTGAAGTTCTTGATGATCCGAAAAATGGTTGATTTAGGTGAAATCTTACTAGCAGCAATATCCTTGCCTGTGAAGCCCTTTCTGTGCAAAGCAATGATGACGGCATGTGTTTCCTTGCAGATAACCATGGTTAACAGAGGAAGAACAATGATTTCAAGCACCACCCTCCTTTTAAAGCTTCCAGTCTGTTATTCTAACTCAATCAGCATGACAGTGATCTCTCTTCATGACATTTTGGAGTATATGCAAATTGCCATCATCAAAACTGAGGCAGCAGACTTTGTGAAAATTAGTATTTGTGTCATTCTCAAAACTTTTGACCACGACTGTACATGTACATATTACCTCGACTAAACGGTGCCCCAGCTCATTGACTTGGTACCGGTACCCCCTGTATATAGCCTCCCTACTGTTATTTTACTGCTGATCTTTAATTATTTGTTACTTCTATTTCATATTTTATGTTGTATTTTTTATTTTATTTTTTATATGTTTTGGGGGGGGGGGTATTCTTTCTTAACTGCATTGTTGGTTAAGGGCTTGTAAGTAAGCATTTCACTGTTGTATTTGGCGCATGTGACAAAAAAAATAAAAATGATTTGATTATCCCATTAATTTTTCCCATAGGGATTTTACTATGACAAACAATGTCAGTATACAACAAGTTATTGCTCACTTATACCCTTTAATCATATATAATTGGAAGGCTTAGATTTACAGCTATCCATCAGAGACATTTTCAGAATGTACAGGTCAATAGACCTCTAGTGTACATATCAGAATTACCTGTATAACTGGCTTTAAAAAAGTGGTTCTGAAAGGTCATGAAATTACTTGTAAAATTATATATAATGTAGCCAACTTTGAAAGCACCAACTACAACTATTGTTTCAAAGTCACCCATATTGTGCGATTGTAACGGGGCAGCTATGTTTTAGTTATGTGACTTTGGTTATAGAAGCAGAAAATTGCACACATACACACACAGCTAGAACAGGGTTTTAAAAAAGATTTGTATTTACAGGGCCATCACAGAATTCACATATTAACCCCCACAGAAGCCTTTTCCCAATATGGCCGCCCAACAACCCAATGAGGTCTTATTGGACAATTTCAAAGGACCATACCTGCATGAAATATAATTGTAGTTTGCCCAAAAATGTTCATAGTGATGTAGAATACACAACCACATGAGCCAGATATATAAATATAAGATATATAAATATAATTGTGATAAGAATGTGCCCAAAAAGCTGTCTGAATCGCTGATTTCTGAAGATGTTATGATCAATAATGGCAACATTTCATCTTCAAACATGTAAAATGGATATTTACATGTATAGAGTCATGGATGTGAGCTGATTTCCAATGATATACAATGTTATCCTAGTAGCTGTTTTCATTATAAGGACTATAAACCTGCCCCGTACATTCCATTACAATGTAGTAAAATCCAATGTTGGGCCTGTTGAGGCCAATTTATATTTACTTGAAGTATTCTAGTAACAGACCAATCTGCTAAGAAAACATCTTCATTTAGACTGACTAAGTGTAATGGTTTGCTGTTGCTCTCATCATCAGGTGAAAACGTGTTGGCATTCCTATGGAATTTTACATTGTAGTGTATGTGGCAAGTTTCTAGTCTTCTGTGTTTATGAAAACAGTTAATAGGATAACATAATATATCATTGGAATCCGCTCACACCCATGAATATTCACATATCCATTTTGCACGTTTTGAAGATGAAATGTTGCCATTGTCTAAAGAAATCAGCGATTCAGACTGCTTTTTTGGCACATTCTTACCACAATGATGTGAATAATTGAACATGATTATATATCTGGCTCATGTGGTTGTGTATTCTACATAGGATAGACAGTTATAGTAGAGGTTCTAGGCTAGGGACAGGGATATGACTATAGACAGGGATATAGAGGTGAGCTGACCTAGCTAATTAGTTAGGTAGTGTATACCCAGTAGTAAGCTGACCTAGCTAATTAGTTAGGTAGTGTATACCCAGTAGTAAGCTGACCTAGCTAATTAGTTAGGTAGTGTATACCCAGTAGTAAGCTGACCTAGCTAATTAGTTAGGTAGTGTATACCCGGTAGTAAGCTGACCTAGCTAATTAGTTAGGTAGTGTATACCCAGTAGTAAGCTGACCTAGCTAATTAGTTAGGTAGTGTATACCCAGTAGTAAGCTGACCTAGCTAATTAGTTAGGTAGTGTATACCCAGTAGTAAGCTGACCTAGCTAATTAGTTAGGTAGTGTATACCCAGTAGTAAGCTGACCTAGCTAATTAGTTAGGTAGTGTATACCCAGTAGTAAGCTGACCTAGCTAATTAGTTAGGTAGTGTATACCCAGTAGTCAGCTGACCTAGCTAATTAGTTAGGTAGTATATACCCAGTAGTAAGCTGACCTAGCTAATTAGTTAGGTAGTGTATACCCAGTAGTAAGCTGACCTAGCTCATTAGTTAGGTAGTGTATACCCAGTAGGAAGCTGACCTAGCTAATTAGTTAGGTAGTGTATACCCAGTAGTAAGCTGACCTAGCTAATTAGTTAGGTAGTGTATACCCAGTAGTAAGCTGACCTAGCTAATTAGTTAGGTAGTGTATAGCCAGTAGTCAGCTGACCTAGCTAATTAGTTAGGTAGTATATACCCAGTAGTAAGCTGACCTAGCTAATTAGTTAGGTAGTGTATACCCAGTAGTAAGCTGACCTAGCTAATTAGTTAGGTAGTGTATACCCAGTAGTAAGCTGACCTAGCTAATTAGTTAGGTAGTATATACCCAGTAGTCAGCTGACCTAGCTAATTAGTTAGGTAGTGTATAGCCAGTAGTCAGCTGACCTAGCTAATTAGTTAGGTAGTGTAATAATAATATATAATAATATAATATATAAATAATATGCCATTTAGCAGACGCTTTTATCCAAAGCGACTTACAGTCATGCGTGCATTCATTTTTTTTGTGTATGGGTGGTCCCGGGGATCGAACCCACTACCTTGGCGTTACAAGCGCCGTGCTCTACCAGCTAAGCTACAGAGGACCAGTAGTCAGCTGACCTAGCTAATTAGTTAGGTAGTGTATACCCAGTAGTAAGCTGACCTAGCTAATTAGTTAGGTAGTGTATAGCCAGTAGTAAGCTGACCTAGCTAATTAGTTAGGTAGTGTATACCCAGTAGTAAGCTGACCTAGCTAATTAGTTAGGTAGTGTATACCCAGTAGTAAGCTGACCTAGCTAATTAGTTAGGTAGTATATACCCAGTAGTCAGCTGACCTAGCTAATTAGTTAGGTAGTGTATACCCAGTAGCCAGTAGTCAGCTGACCTAGCTAATTAGTTAGGTAGTGTATGCCCAGTAGTAAGCTGACCTAGCTAATTAGTTAGGTAGTATATACCCAGTAGTCAGCTGACCTAGCTAATTAGTTAGGTAGTGTATAGCCAGTAGTAAGCTGACCTAGCTAATTAGTTAGGTAGTGTATACCCAGTAGTAAGCTGACCTAGCTAATTAGTTAGGTAGTGTATACCCAGTAGTAAGCTGACCTAGCTAATTAGTTAGGTAGTGTATACCCAGTAGTAAGCTGACCTAGCTAATTAGTTAGGTAGTGTATACCCAGTAGTAAGCTGACCTAGCTAATTAGTTAGGTAGTGTATACCCAGTAGCCAGGAGTAAGCCTTTCTCAGAAGTTGATGGCTTGTTTGTTAGTGCTGCAACTTCAGATGTCTGCTGCTAGTTGCTGTTGATCAGACCTGTACACAGTTTAATGACAATCATATTCACAGTCACTGACTGGTATTTGTTCTCATGCTTTCTCAGGAAATCCGAAACCAAGCCAGTGAATATTCATACAAAATGGCAAAACTTCCAGAGAATCGGAATCGAAACCGATATAGAGATGTCAGCCCCTGTAAGTATTTTGTCTAACTATAATTTATGAAGTACCCTACACTAGTCATCATTGTGATGAATACTTGCACCTCGACGATTATCAATAGTTTTAATTTACACATTTTAAATATATTTGTCTCTGGTTTCAGATGATCACAGTCGTGTTAAACTTGAAAACTCTGAAAATGACTACATCAATGCTAGTTTAGTCATGGTGGAGGAAGCCCAAAGAACCTATATTCTATCCCAGGTAAGTGCAGACAAGTAGCTCAGACTTTCATTCATTATGTACTGATCATGTAAATGAGACTTTCACAAAACAAGTACTAATGATTATGGATCTACATTTTGAGGATTGGTCTGTGTTCTAAGTTGGGGAATAAGCAGTGTGTTGTGTTTTCTCCCAAAGGGACCACTGAGGAACACCTGTGGTCACTTCTGGTTGATGATCTGGGAGCAGAACTCCAAAGCCGTTATAATGCTGAACAGAGTCATAGAGAAGGGATCTGTAAGTAGCCTACATAAATTTAAAGAGTCATAGAGAAGGGATCTGTAAGTAGCCTAAATGTATAATGCTGAACAGAATCATAGAGAAGGGATCTGTAAGTAAGCCTACATAAATGTTATAATGCTGAAACAGAGTCATAGAGAAGGGATCTGTAAGTAGCCTACATAAATGTTATAATGCTGAACAGAATCATAGAGAAGGGATCTGTAAGTAGCCTACATAAATGTTATAATGCTGAACAGAATCATAGAGAAGGGATCTGTAAGTAGCCTACATAAATGTTATAATGCTGAACAGAGTCATAGAGAAGGGATCTGTAAGTAGCCTACATAAATGTTATAATGCTGAACAGAGTCATAAGAAGGGATCTGTAAGTAGCCTACATAAAGAAGGGATCTGTAAGTAGCCTACATAAATGGTCCTCTGTAGCTCAATTGGTAGACCATGGCGCTTGTAACGCCAGGGTAGTGGGTTCGATCCCCCGGGACCACCCATATGTAAAAATGTATGCACACATGAACTGTAAGTCGCTTTGGATAAAAGCGTCTGCTAAATGGCATATTATATTATTATATTATTATTATTATTATATTATTATTATAATGCAGAACAGAGTCATAGAGAAGGGATCTGTAGTAGCCTACATAAATGTTATAATGCTGAACAAATCATAGAGAAGGGATCTGTAAGTAGCCTACATAAATGTTATAATGCTGAACAGAGTCATAGAGAAGGGATCTGTAAGTAGCCTACATAAATGTTATAATGCTGAACAGAGTCATAGAGAAGGGATCTGTAAGTAGCCTACATAAATGTTATAATGCTGAACAGAATCATAGAGAAGGGATCTGTAAGTAGCCTACATAAATGTTATAATGCTGAACAGAGTCATAGAGAAGGGATCTGTAAGTAGCCTACATAAATGTTATAATGCTGAACAGAGTCATAGAGAAGGGATCTGTAAGTAGCCTACATAAAGAAGGGATCTGTAAGTAGCCTACATAAATGGTCCTCTGTAGCTCAATTGGTAGAGCATGGCGCTTGTAACGCCAGGGTAGTGGGTTCGATCCCCGGGACCACCCATATGTAAAAATGTATGCACACATGACTGTAAGTCGCTTTGGATAAAAGCGTCTGCTAAATGGCATATTATATTATTATATTATTATTATTATTATATTATTATTATAATGCAGAACAGAGTCATAGAGAAGGGATCTGTAAGTAGCCTACATAAATGTTATAATGCTGAACAGAATCATAGAGAAGGGATCTGTAAGTAGCCTACATAAATGTTATAATGCTGAACAGAGTCATAGAGAAGGGATCTGTAAGTAGCCTACATAAATGTTATAATGCTGAACAGAGTCATAGAGAAGGGATCTGTAAGTAGCCTACATAAATGTTATAATGCTGAACAGAATCATAGAGAAGGGATCTGTAAGTAGCCTACATAAATGTTATAATGCTGAACAGAATCATAGAGAAGGGATCTGTAAGTAGCCTACATAAATGTTATAATGCTGAACAGAGTCATAGAGAAGGGATCTGTAAGTAGCCTACATAAATGTTATAATGCTGAACAGAGTCATAGAGAAGGGATCTGTAAGTAGCCTACATAAATGTTATAATGCTGAACAGAGTCATAGAGAAGGGATCTGTAAGTAGCCTACATAAATGTTATAATGCTGAACAGAGTCATAGAGAAGGGATCTGTAAGTAGCCTACATAAATGTTATAATGCTGAACAGAATCATAGAGAAGGGATCTGTAAGTAGCCTACATAAATGTTATAATGCTGAACAGAGTCATAGAGAAGGGATCTGTAAGTAGCCTACATAAATGTTATAATGCTGAACAGAGTCATAGAGAAGGGATCTGTAAGTAGCCTACATAAATGTTATAATGCTGAACAGAATCATAGAGAAGGGATCTGTAAGTAGCCTACATAAATGTTATAATGCTGAACAGAATCATAGAGAAGGGATCTGTAAGTAGCCTACATAAATGTTATAATGCTGAACAGAGTCATAGAGAAGGGATCTGTAAGTAGCCTACATAAATGTTATAATGCTGAACAGAGTCATAGAGAAGGGATCTGTAAGTAGCCTACATAAATGTTATAATGCTGAACAGAGTCATAGAGAAGGGATCTGTAAGTAGCCTACATAAATGTTATAATGCTGAACAGAGTCATAGAGAAGGGATCTGTAAGTAGCCTACATAAATGTTATAATGCTGAACAGAATCATAGAGAAGGGATCTGTAAGTAGCCTACATAAATGTTATAATGCTGAACAGAGTCATAGAGAAGGGATCTGTAAGTAGCCTACATAAATGTTATAATGCTGAACAGAATCATAGAGAAGGGATCTGTAAGTAGCCTACATAAATGTTATAATGCTGAACAGAGTCATAGAGAAGGGATCTGTAAGTAGCCTACATAAATGTTATAATGCTGAACAGAATCCTAGAGAAGGTACATTGGCATCCCTCTCTGACAGACAAGCCTATGCATTAGGTTTACACCACACTCTAGGCCACACAACCAAGTGTGGACCAACACAACGCTGTTCATTGTATCTCTGTCCAGGGTACTGTGATCATCATGTAGCTACCGTAGCTAGTTAGCCTTCCCATCAGGCGTTCAGGTTGGGCTAATCACTAATGTATTGTCCCCCAACAGGAGAAGTGTGCTCAGTACTGGCCCACAGCTGAGGAACACCAGTTGTCTTACACTGACACAGGGTTTGTTGTGACGCTGGTGAAAGAAGAGGACAAGTCCTACTACATCATACGAGTGCTGGAGCTGAGGAATACAGAGGTGAGCACTGCTTCTCCATTGACTCTGTGTGATGTTGTTGTTAGCACAGTCACTGTATTAAAATGACATGCGTTGTCCAGACAGGACGAACCAGAGAGATATACCACTTTCACTACACCACCTGGCCTGACTTTGGCGTCCCAGAATCCCCGGCGTCCTTCCTCAACTTCCTGGTCAAGGTGCGGGAGTCTGGCTCATTGGGGGCGGAGCATGGGCCCGCCGTGGTCCACTGCAGCGCTGGGATTGGACGCTCGGGGACCTTCTCATTGGTTGACACGTGTCTCATCCTGGTAATATCAATACTTCCTGTTTTACGTACTAATTGAATGCCCTACTTGGTATGAAACCAGACTAGCGTCCTGTTCAGGGGGTGTACTTGGACATGAAGCTTGCTCACGCTACAGATGGGAGATTCTGTCTCGGACAAGGCTTGGTATTTAAGATCAGCTCCTGGTCAAACTGTATTTATCTCCTGTGTCTCCAGTCTAATTATATAGACCAGGCAGTCTTCACTTGTCACTGATGTTGAAGGTTAAGTCATACTCTCTCTCCTGTCTAGATGGACTCTCACTGTAACTCTCTCTCTCTCTCTCTCTCTCTCTCTCACTGTAACTCTCTCTCCTGTCTAGATGGACACTCACTGTAACTCTCTCTCTCTCTCTCTCTCCCCCTCTCTCTCTCACTGTAACTCTCTCTCCTGTCTAGATGGACACTCACTGTAACTCTCTCTCTCTCTCCTGTCTAGATGGACACTCACTGTAACTCTCTCTCTCTCTCCTGTCTAGATGGACACTCACTGTAACTCTCTCTCTCTCTCCTGTCTAGATGGACACTCACTGTAACTCTCTCTCTCTCTCTCTCTCTCTGTAACTCTCTCTCTCTCTCTCCTGTCTAGATGGATAAGAGGAAGGACCCGTCGTCGGTGGACATCCAGAGGGTTCTGCTGGACATGAGGGAGTACAGGATGGGTCTGATCCAGACTCCTGACCAGCTACGCTTCTCCTACAGGGCAGTCCTGGAGGGAGCCAAGTGCATCGTGGGAGACTGCTCTGCACAGGTAGGGAGACTGCTCTGCACAGGTAGGGAGACTGCTCTGCACAGGTAGGGAGACTGCTCTGCACAGGTGGAGATCTTGCACAGGAGGAGACGCTCTGCACAGTAGGGACTGCTGCACAGGTAGGGAGACTGCTCTGCACAGGTAGGGAGACTGCTCTGCACAGGTAGGGAGACTGCTCTGCACAGGTAGGGAGACTGCTCTGCACAGGTAGGGAGACTGCTCTGCACAGGTAGGGAGACTGCTCTGCACAGGTAGGGAGACTGCTCTGCACAGGTAGGGAGGACTGCTCTGCACAGGTAGGGAGACTGCTCTGCACAGGTAGGGGAGACTGCTCTGCACAGGTAGGGAGACTGCTCTGCACAGGTAGGGAGACTGCTCTGCACAGGTAGGGAGACGCTCTGCACAGGTAGGGAGACTGCTCTGCACAGGGAGGGAGACTGCTCTGCACAGGGAGGGAGACTGCTCTGCACAGGTAGGGAGACTGCTCTGCACAGGTAGGGAGACTGCTCTGCACAGGTAGGGAAACTTCTCTGCACAGGTAGGGAGACTGCTCTGCACACACTGTAACTAGTGTACGGGATGAGTACTGTGTCAATGTGAAACTATTTGGTTGTGACTCCTCTGTACAGGGTCATGCTGTATGTGTCCGTGTGAAATTAGACATTAGCAGAACTGTGACTTTCTCCACTGAGGGACAATATGTGCTCCCAATGTGCTACGCCTGTATCCAACCTGCCTTACAGTAACATGAAGAGAGTCAATGAAGACCTCTGTATTCCAGCCTCTGTCTGTCCGTCTGTCTGAGGAGCTGTTGATCATTATGTACTGGTCTGTTTGTCTCCACAGAGCCAGTGGAGAGAGCTGTCCAGACCAGGAGACAGTGTGTGAGTCGCCCCCTGCCCCCCCTCCCAGGTGTCTCTCCGACGCCCCCCCTCCACCCCCGCCACGGCCTTTAGACAACCCTGCCCCCCCTCCCAGGTGTCTCTCCGACGCCCCCCCTCCACCCCCGCCACGGCCTTTAGACAACCCTGCCCCCCCTCCCAGGTGTCTCTCCGACGCCCCCCCTCCACCCCGCCACGGCCTTTAGACAACCCTGCCCCCCTCCAGGTGTCTCTGCGACGCCCCCCCTCCACCACCAGCCACGCCTTTAGAGACACCCTGCCCCCCCGTCCTCCCAGTCGGCCCTCAGAAAGGACCAACGGCCAGCCGCTGCCTGTAGGGAGCCTGAGGCTGTGGCTTGTCCAGAGAGGACGGGACTCAGGAGACGGGCCAGATCCAGATAGCTCCAGCTCAGAGAAGGACCGGGCGGAGGTGACGAGGTCAGGGCCAGATCCAGACAGCTCCAGCTCAGAGAAGGACCGGGCGGAGGTGACGAGGTCAGGGCCAGATCCAGATAGCTCCAGCTCAGAGAAGGACCGGGCGGAGGTGACGAGGTCAGGGCCAGATCCAGACAGCTCCAGCTCAGAGAAGGACCGGGCGGAGGTGACGAGGTCAGGGCCAGATCCAGACAGCTCCAGCTCAGAGAAGGAACCCGGGCGGAGGTGACGAGGTCAGGGCCAGATCCAGACAGCTCCAGCTCAGAGAAGGACCGGGCGGAGGTGACGAGGTCAGGGCCAGATCCAGACAGCTCCCTCAGAGAAGGACCGGGCGGAGGACGAGGTCAGGGCAGATCCAGACACTCCAGCTCGGAAGGACCGGGCGGAGGTTGACGAGTCAGGGCCAGATCCAGATAGCTCCAGCTCAGAGAAGACCACGGAGGTGACGAGTCGGGCAGTCCAACAGCTCCAGCTCAGAGACAGGACCGGCGGAGGCTTGACACCAGGCCCGCCAGATCCAGACGCTCCAGCTCAGCGAGGACGGACGGATGGTGACGAGGTCAGGGCCCAGATTCCGACCCCCCCCAGAGAAGGCCCGGACGGTAGGGACGAGGCCAGGCCCCAGATTCCAGCAGCTCCAGCTCAAGAAGCCGGGCTGAGGTGACGAGGTCCCCCCCGTCCCCCAGTGATTCCTCTACTGGTCTCTATGTGTTGCTGCTTCTGTTGCTAACTCCTACTGAAGTTCATGTAGGCCTTATCATGGGCCAGATGTTTAGATGGCATTCATTAGGACCCATCCGATCGCATCAATTAGGGCCCATCCAACTCGCATTCAATAGGACCATCAGGACTCGATTCAATGGAACATCCAGACTCTATTCAATTAGGACCATCAGACTCGTTCATGGGACCCATCCAGACTCGCATCATTAGGACCCATCCAGACTCGCGTTCAATAGGACCATCCAGACTCTCATTCAATTAGACCCATCCAGACTCGCATTCATTAGGTTACCATCCAGTACTCATTCAACTTAGGACCATCCAGACTATCAGACTGGCAGTTTGATGGCATTCAATTAGGACCCATCCAGACTTCTGTAACCATGTAATGAAACCCTCTGTTTTCCAGTCTGAGGAGGAACCGGGAGGAGCGGATCGCCAGCACGGCCCAGAAGCTGCACCTAATGAAACAAGGACTGACGGACACAGAGAGGCAGAGAGAGCGCTGGCTGTACTGGAGGCCTATCCTGCTCAACGTGGGGGCTGGAGCTGCCGTGGCCTTGGGTCTAATGGTGGTGTGGCTCTTCTCCCAGTGATACCCCCTCCCTCTGTCTGAGCTGCCATGGCCTTGGGTCTAATGGTGGTGTGGCTCTTCTCCCAGTGATACCCCCTCCCTCTGTCTGAGCTGCCGTGGCCTTGGGTCTAATGGTGGTGTGGCTCTTCTCCCAGTGATACCCCCTCCCTCTGTCTGAGCTGCCGTGGCCTTGGGTCTAATGGTGGTGTGGCTCTTCTCCCAGTGATACCCCCTCCCTCTGTCTGAGCTGCCGTGGCCTTGGGTCTAATGGTGGTTTGGCTCTTCTCCCAGTGATACCCCCTCCCTCTGTCTGAGCTGCCGTGGCCTTGGGTCTAATGGTAGTGTGGCTCTTCTCCCAGTGATACCCCCTCCCTCTGTCTGAGCTGCCGTGGCCTTGGGTCTAATGGTGGTGTGGCTCTTCTCCCAGTGATACCCCCTCCCTCTGTCTGAGCTGCCGTGGCCTTGGGTCTAATGGTGGTGTGGCTCTTCTCCCAGTGATACCCCCTCCCTCTGTCTGAGCTGCCATGGCCTTGGGTCTAATGGTGGTGTGGCTCTTCTCCCAGTGATACCCCCTCCCTCTGTCTGAGCTGCCGTGGCCTTGGGTCTAATGGTGGTGTGGCTCTTCTCCCAGTGATACCCCCTCCCTCTGTCTGAGCTGCCGTGGCCTTGGGTCTAATGGTGGTGTGGCTCTTCTCCCAGTGATACCCCCTCCCTCTGTCTGATCTGCCATGGCCTTGGGTCTAATGGTGGTGTGGCTCTTCTCCCAGTGATACCCCCTCCCTCTGTCTGAGCTGCCTTGGGTCTAATGGTGGTGTGGCTCTTCTCCCAGTGATACCCCCTCCCTCTGTCTGAGCTGCCGTGGCCTTGGGTCTAATGGTGGTGTGGCTCTTCTCCCAGTGATACCCCCTCCCTCTGTCTGAGCTGCCGTGGCCTTGGGTCTAATGGTGGTGTGGCTCTTCTCCCAGTGATACCCCCTCCCTCTGTCTGAGCTGCCGTGGCCTTGGGTCTAATGGTGGTGTGGTTCTTCTCCCAGTGATACCCCCTCCCTCTGTCTGAGCTGCCGTGGCCTTGGGTCTAATGGTGGTGTGGCTCTTCTCCCAGTGATACCCCCTCCCTCTGTCTGAGCTGCCGTGGCCTTGGGTCTAATGGTGGTGTGGCTCTTCTCCCAGTGATACCCCCTCCCTCTGTCTGAGCTGCCGTGGCCTTGGGTCTAATGGTGGTGTGGCTCTTCTCCCAGTGATACCCCCTCCCTCTGTCTGAGCTGCCATGGCCTTGGGTCTAATGGTGGTGTGGCTCTTCTCCCAGTGATACCCCCTCCCTCTGTCTGAGCTGCCATGGCCTTGGGTCTAATGGTGGTGTGGCTCTTCTCCCAGTGATACCCCCTCCCCCTCTCTGTCTGACACACTGACTCACTCTTCTTTGTTGCACCAGTTCCTGGGACATGGAAACTCTCTCTCCACGGAACCCTCTCTCTCCACGGAACCCTCTCTCTCCACGGAACCCTCTCTCTCCACGGAACCCTCTCTCTCCACGGAACCCTCTCTCTCCACGGAACCCTCTCTCTCTTAGGGACATTCTCATGGTCTGTCTGTGCATAACAGGGATATTTATTTCTACAGGTCAACCAGGGTTGGGGTCAATTCCATTTCGATTCCTGTCAATTCAGGAAGTACACTGAAATTCCAATGTCAGTTCTCTTCAATCCTTTTCAATTATGAACATTTTGAGTTTGGTTTACTTTCTGAATTGACTGGGAATTTAAATGGAATTGAGCCCAACCCTGGTGAAAACGTCAGAGCGCTAGATGACTCCTCCCAGTGTATATTTAGATTGACGTTTAAAGATCTTCCTGGTAAGACGTTCTCTCGGGATCTTGGTGCTCCAGTTAGCAGCACCTGATGAATGTACTGTAGGAAACCATATGGAGCAGCAACATACAAGACATACTAAAGGCTCAGTACTTCACATTTACTTTTCTTCCTTTCTTTATTTCATTTTAAAGGTCAGATTGTTTGTTTTGATTGATTGATGTACATATTTTGACATGAAGCATTTCAAAGGCTGTGTTTGACCTTTTGATCCTCCCATAGAGCTCACAGTGCAACGGGAACATAGAGGTCAGGGGTATAACAGTAGAGCTGTTCTCTAACCAACAACATACTTTGCTCCTCATAATGCTCATGGTGCTTTGAGATGTTTTCCAGACCAGACCTGGTTCTTCCACTGTGTCAGCAGGGCAGGGCAAGGACCAGACAGAGTTTGGTCTGAACGCTTTCGGTCAAGTGCTCTATTGATCGTTCAAACACGAATCAATTCATAAATGTTCTTTCAAATATGAACAGAACAAACGGATATCACATTTACATAAGTAGTCAGACCCTTTACTCAGTACTTTTGTTGAAGCACCTTTTGGCAGCGATTACAGCCTCGAGTCTTCTTGGGTATGACGCTACAAGCTTGGCACACCTGTATTTGGGGAGTTTCTCCCATTCTTCTCTGCAGATCCGCTCAAGCTCTGTCAGGTTGGATGGGGAGTGTTGCTGCACAGCTATTTTCAGGTCTCTCCAGAGATGTTAGATCGGGTTCAAGTCCGGGCTCTGGCTGGGCCACTCAAGGACATTCAGAGACTTGTCCCGAAGCCACTCCTGCGTTGTATTGGCTGTGTGCTTAGGGTCGTTGTCCTGTTGGAAGACGAACCTTCGCCCCAGTCTGAGGTCCTGAGCGCTCTGGAGCAGGTTTTCATCAAGGATCTCTCTGTACTTTGCTCCGTTCATCTTTCCCTCGATCCTGACTAGTCTCTCAGTCCCTGCCACTGAAAAACATCCCCACAGCATGATGCTGTCACCACCATGCTTCACTGTAGGGATGGTGCCAGGTTTCCTCCAGACGTGACGCTTGGCATTCAGGCCAAAGAGTTCAATCTTGGTTTCATCAGACCAGAGAATCTTGTTTCTCATGGTCTGAGAGTCCTTTAGGTGCCTTTTGGCAAACTCCAAGCGGGCTGTCATGTGCCTTTTACTGAAGAGTGGCTTCCGTCTGGCCACTCCACCATAAAGGCCTGATTGGTGGAGCGCTGCAGAGATGGTTGTCCTTCTGGAAGGTTCTCCCATCTCCACAGAGGAACTCTGGAGCTCTCTCAGAGTGACCATCGGGTTCTTGATCACCTCCCTGACCAAGGCCCTTCTCCCCCGATTGCTCAGTTTGGCCGGGCTGCCAGCTCTAGGAAGAGTCTTGGTGGTTCCAAACTTCTTCCATTTAAGAATGATGGAGGCCACTCTGTTCTTGGGATCTTCAATGCTGCAGACATTTTTTGATACCCTTCCCCAGATCTGTGCCTCGACACAATCCTGTCTCGGAGCTCTACGGACAATTCCTTCGACCTCATGGCTTGGTTTTTGCTCTGACATGCACAGTCAACAGGTGTGTGCCTTTTTTCAAATCATGTCCAATCAATTGAATTTACCACAGGTGGACTCCAATGAAGTTGTACAAACATCTCAAGGATGATCAATGGAAACAGGATGCACCTGAGCTCTGTTTAAAGTCTCATATCAAAGGGTCTGACTACTTATATAAATAAGGTATTTCTGTTTTTTATTTTTAATAAATTTGCAAAAATGTCTAACAACCTGTTTGTGCTTTGTCATTATGGGGTATTGTGTGTAGATTGAGGATTTTTATTTATTTAATCCATTTTAGAATAAGGCTGAAACGTAACAAAATGTGGAAAAAGTCAAGGGGTCTGAATACTTTCCGAAGGCACTGTATCTACCAACCCACTGGCTGGGTTAGGTTCTACTGGCTGGGTTAGGTTCTACTGGCTGGGTTAGGTTCTACTGGCTGGGTTAGGTTCTACTGGCTGGGTTAGGTTCCACTGGCTGGGTTAGGTTCCACTGGCTGGGTTAGGTTCCACTGGCTGGGTTAGGTTCCACTGGCTGGGTTAGGTTCCACTGGCTGGGTTAGGTTCCACTGGCTGGGTTAGGTTCCACTGGCTGGGTTAGGTTCTACTGGCTGGGTTAGGTTCCACTGGCTGGGTTAGGTTCCACTGGCTGGGTTAGGTTCTACTGGCTGGGTTAGGTTCTACTGGCTGGGTTAGGTTCACTGGCTGGGTTAGGTTCCACTGGCTGGGTTAGGTTCTACTGGCTGGGTTAGGTTCCACTGGCTGGGTTAGGTTCTACTGGCTGGGTTAGGTTCCACTGGCTGGGTTAGGTTCTACTGGCAGCTGATCCATAGTAAGGAAGGCTCTCCTGACTTAGCTAGCTTGTGAAAACTCTGCTTATGAGGTTATATTTGATATGACAAGTTTTGGTAACCTGGGGTTGTTTTATTTAGTTGTTCTCATTCATCTGATTCAGAATGTATTTTCTGTTGAGTCTAGAGCCGTTGACTGACTGACTGACTGACTTGCTGGCTGACTGGCTTGCTGGCTGGCTGACTTGCTGGCTGACTGACTGACTTGCTGGCTGGCTGACTGGCTTGCTGGCTGGCTGACTTGCTGGCTGGCTGACTGGCTTGCTGGCTGACTGACTTGCTGGCTGGCTGACTGACTTGCTGGCTGGCTGCTGACTGACTTGCTGACTGGCTGACTGACTTGCTGGCTGACTGACTTGCTGGCTGACTGACTTGCTGACTGGCTGGCTGACTTGCTGGCTGACTTGCTGGCTGACTGACTTGCTGGCTGACTGACTTGCTGGCTGACTTGCTGGCTGACTTGCTGGCTGACTGACTGGCTGGCTGGCTGGCTGACTGACTGACTGATTTGCTGGCTGGCTGGCTGGCTGGCTGACTGGCTTGCTGGCTGGCTGGCTGGCTGACTGGCTGGCTGGCTGGCTGGCTGACGCCCAGCAGACAATAAGGAGAAGTGATGTATAACAGTAGCATTGGTCTCTGTTGCAGCATGGATAGAGAGACTCCTCTGTGAGTTCATGGCAGAAATGAGCCTGTCATATCATCTTATATATCACAGGGACCAATTTAAAAAAAAGTTATGTTAGTAGTGCAATTCACAGGTTTAGTCAAAGC